CAATGCACATTTGTGGGTGGGTTGGTTCCAGCGAATGGATTGATGCATGCATGCAATGCATCATGGCTTGACTAGTCCAACCAAGTTTAGCCAGTGATTTAGGACTGATATATGATATCAGAGTGACGGTTTAATATTATTGATTAACATTATTTTTTGGCAATGATATTTGTTTTTTAATAGTACAGTAAGAAAATTTTCTATAAGAAAACTGACGTAATTTTGACATGCTAACTACATAGTTTCATCACCCCCCTTCTCCTACTTTATGTATATGTATGCCAAAGCAAGTATAACTAAAAGCTAATTACTTTTTTTTTTATGCAAACATGCTATTATTTGTTATCATTTGAAGTACATGGAGCCTTTCATTCATCATTGATTACCTTGTTAAAAGCTCCTTATATTTTTATCTATAAAAACTTAGTTTTCTAAATAAATTAAATTCAACCATTGATTTTGTTTTTTGGAACACCATTTATTATTTTAGATGTTACGCAAAAAAATTCATTTGTAAATCATTTACATAGGTCATATGCACCACGCAAGTCATACAAAGTTCATTTAGTTGATGGGGTATTGATCGATCTATTAGTTAAAATTTATGTTCACTAGCGTTAGGTTCAAATTGGACTTTTTTTTGCATGGGAAAACACTATAAATAGTGTTTTATTGATTTATGCCAGAGTGTTTTCACATGATGTTGGAATGACTTTGTAATTGCAAACAAATGCTACGTGAGGGGTTGAGTGACAATAAGGGAATGAGCGAGGCTAACGTCATTTGAAAAATTTTCTTTCGAATATATATCTAAACATATTTAAGGAGCATAAATATTTATAACATTAATAATCTTAGTATCTACAACAATCTTTAGGGTTATAATTTTATCTCTAATTCAATTAATTTTTACAATATTATCATTCAAGCTCTTATCTATAATTACATATGTATCATTTCTGATTCGACTCCTATAAGAGTATCGAAGTTTAAAATCTTAGTTATCACTCTCTTTAGTCTTTTCTCTAACTCAATTAATTTTTTTAATGCATAAGATATCTATCTGTCTATGAATCATAATATCTACTATATTAGTGAGTGTACCTATATTTCAAAATCTTATCCTAATATTAATTTAATGGACTAACTTCTTTATTCGCATCTGTCCATAATGTAAAAATCCTTGCTTATTTAACACTACACTTTGACACCGACATAGTGACACTTGCACACTTTTCACTGTATTCAGGTTATATAGTGCATCACTTTCAGGTGACGCTCTATCATTTACATGATTATTTAAATGATTCATGCCATGATTTTTTCGACAAAAAATTTACGCTAGCTTTCATTACCTAACACAACCCTCTATTTTTCGCATCTGAAATTTGGGACCTGACAATAGCAGTGTTTTGCATACCAAAAGAAAGAAAATGATTTTAATTACTAAAACTTATCATCATATCCATCATTTCATTAGCTCCATTCAGGTAATGTCATGCCAAACTAATGAAATAAACAAAACTCAAAGTCAAAATGATAAGTATTAATACATATAGGATTAATGTTAAACCAGTCTTAAGAAAGTTACCATAAATTAAAAAAATCTCAAAGTTAACAAAGCATTAATTTTAAATGTTGCTTGAGTTATCCCCATTTTCCCTTGCACACATTTTCATTTTATGTCATTGTCTCAAATTCAGGATGTATCTAAAAAAGCAAAAAAAAAAAAAAAAAGAATATAATATTTTTTAATGCTTCATATAAACATTAATCCACTTAATAGAAAAATTAAACTTAAATAAATGTTTAGTACCTTGTTCTAATCTAATGTCTCAATAATATCATGTTTTAATGAATTTTTATATTGATCTAGAATTCTCCACTATTACTATAGGCACTTTTTGAGGCAATGTTGACCTCATTTTTGGATGAGATCTTCACCTCTCTCCTTAGAGCATAGGGTCTAGCTTTAGGTTTCCTTTGTTTGACCCTCCTAGAGGACTAGTATGAAACTCACACCCTTTAGAAAATTCGAGCCATTCCGTCACTCCTTCGAGTCTTGTATGGGCGGTCCTGAATCCTCGACATTTCGTTAAGTTGATGAAAATCGACACATGAGACACGAGTCGAGTTCCTATATTAATAGGAGCAGCCCTAAGGAAGGGAACCCCTTTGCGACCCGAACGCTCGATAACGCCGCATTTTGCTCACGCATCGCACCCCTCACGATTTTGACTTAAATTGATTTGCCCGTCAGCGAATTCGTCCGGACGACCCCGGATGACGAAACAGACCATACGGATGTGTTCAGGACGTCAATTTTAGCGAGAAAGGACACTCATATCGTTATGGTTTCGCGCGCGAGCGATTAACACGAATTTCAATGCACATTTTTTTATATAGCGGTGCGCGGGCCCAGGCTCAACCCAGGTTCAACTTAGGTCTGATTCGGGTTCGATTCAGACTGGAATCTGGCTAAACACGGGCTAGGCACCATCTCATCTGAATTTGAAATTCAAATTTCAAAATTAAATTTCAAAATTCAAACAAATTTTTAAATTTTGTCTTAATTAAAAATATTCAGGTGTTAATGCTTTCCAATTGAACATCCCCTGCATTTGGAAACCATTTATTTACCCGCCAATTGATTAGAGTAACGGCTCCTCTCCCGCTGACCTATTTCTTTCTCGAGCACGAGAGCCTTGGCTTCCTGCTCTCACTCGACCAAAGTCCCTCTGTCCCGCTCGTCTTCCTCCTCTGCGACTCGATCGCAGCTTTAGCTAAAGCTCCTGCTTGCCTCCCTCGCTCGACTGGACTCTTCCTTCCAGCGAACCGAAGTGCTCCTCTCCTTGTGCGCCGAAGAGCCCCGCTCCTCCGCTGTGACTCGATCGCAGCTCTAGCCGAAGCTTCTGCTTGCCTCCCTTGCTCGACCGAACTCCCTCTTCCCCTCTCAAGCTCGACTCCCTCCTTCCTCACTCGACCAAAGGAGCTCTCAACTCCTCCCTCTGCGCCAGAAAACCGCCGCATCCCCTTCCTCTCGACACCGAAGCCACTCGCCTTCCCATCTGCTCTCCTCTCTGCACCGCGACCAAACCATTCGACTCCCTCACTCCTCCTGCAAGCCAAGCAAGACCCTGAAGAAGACATTCGAGCTCATCAAAGGTAGCCGCATCAAAAGGTACTCCATTTTTTTTTTCCTTTTTTTATGTTCTTTTTTATGTCTTTCCTTTGCATTTATTTCACTCGATATTATTTCTTGCATAACCTGTTGTGTTGAGTTTGTCTATTTATGCATATTCATAGTTCAACAAGTTGAGCTTCTATGCACCAAGAGCATAAATGAACAATTCCTGATAATTTGTCATGTCTTCAGTGGGATAAATTACCATGTCTTCAATGGGTTAAAGAAGTTGGTTTTTTTTTTCTTTATATACATAACCTGTCCTTCATCATTCTCAGTTACATTGCTTTTTATACCCTCACGAAATTAGAAAATGAGCAAACCACCTGATGGTTTGGTCATTTGGAATTATCATGTGATTTACCTCCAGATTGAAAGTTAGGAAAATTGCAAAAGGGTTATTGGAGGGATGTATCTTGAAATAATAGTTTCTATTTGTTTGGTCTGTGGCTTTTTCTGCAACAACAATACAACAAAAGCTATGCATACTCTCTCAACTCTTATGAAGAAGCAAGCCAGGGAAAATAATATCGTGGTGAATGATTGATTGCTTTGATAGAATTTTTATCTCATATGGGGTAATAATGGCAGAAGCATTCACATTTGCATACTCGCCGCCCAACTCTTATATATATTTACATTTATGACACCCTAACCTATGCATGAGATGTATAAAAGTTATTGCAATTTTGGGTAGGAAGTTTAATGTCACTTCTGATTATTTAGGGGTTGTTTTACTCACTGTTTTAAAGGCATTAAACCCATCATTCGGGCGTTGTTTTTACCACTTTGGAACCATTTTGATACCATTTGGGCTCCATTTTTTGCACTGTTTTGGGGTACTTTTGTTGGTCGATTTGGGGCAATTTATGTACAGTTTTGTGGTGCTTTTGTGAGCTGATCTTGGGACCCTTAAACGCTGATGTTGGAGCCTTTAAATGCACATTGTGTTGGGCTGTTTTAGGATTGTTTTGGGGCCATGGAAGCTTTCTAGCTGCTGTCGGAGTCATAGAAAGCTGTAGGACCACTACCCAATGCTCCTAGCCGCTGCCCGATATCGTAGCAGCGCTGTAGGCTGTTGTACAAGGCTTCAAAACCACTGTTTGGAGTATAGGAGCGCTGTTAGTTGTTGTCCAAGGCTCCAAAGTCAGTATAGGGACGCTGTAGGCTACTGTCCAGGACTCCAAAGTCACTGTTTGGGTTCGTAGGAAGCCATCTAGGTGCTGCCCACCGCTATTTGGGTTCGTAGGAAGCCATTTAGGTGTTGTCCACCACTGTT